CTAAATTTAAACATATTTCAGCATAAAAATCATATTTGGCATATAAAGTAAAATTACTTTTTCCCGGCAGTTTCCCCTTTCTATTGCAAAGGCCCCATATTACAGTTAATTTTATATTTCATGGATCATTAATAATTTTCAGTTATATTTAGTAATTATATTTTATAATAATTTTATTATAAAATATTTTCAGTTACATTTAGTTACAATTTATTAGTAGTTTATAAATTATGAAATTAGCTATAAAAATTAAAACTTATCCTTCGCAACCCTTTAACCTGTGTATATATTATTATTGTTTATTAACTTTATGTGGTATTGTATTATTTCGTTATATTGACTTAAGGTGTAATCACTGAAAAGTAATCTCTGAAATATCCAAAAGTTACTCATGTGAACTTTACTAATATAAATATTTATAATAATAATTATTTATTTAAGCTAAAAATATAAATATAATTAATTTTAAATAAAAATTTTAAATATAATATTAATTAATCATATAATAAAATCATCAGATAATCAAATTAAATATAAGTTTAATTGTAAAATGAAATTTATTTTTAGATAATTAAATTAGTTATACTGTATATATATATTATATTTTTAATTAATTTCTTTTTTTATTACTTAATCTATAAATTAATCAATAAAATAATAAATTATTTAATTATATTATAATTATTTAGTTATTTTAAAACAACTTAATTTTAAGTTATACAAAATTATTTAATTATGTCAAAACTATATAATCATGATAAAATTGTCAAAAATTATATAATTATTACAAACTTATTACTTTGCTAAATTATTTAAAATATTTAGATTTTTTAACAAAAGGATTAGTCATGTATTTTTACTATTAAAAACTAATATATTATCATAAAATATATTATAAATTATTTTTTAATATAATAACCACTATAATAATAATTTTTTAGTTTAATAAAAAAATTTATATAAAATTTCTTTTCAATTAATATATACTTTTAATTTGTATTATTATTACAGATTATTAATTATATAAAGGGTAATTTATATTGAATATTATTCATTTCTTGCAAAAACTATTTAAAGTAAAATGATAATCTTTTTTAATAGTTATTAAGTTATTTATACAAATTTAAAATTTATTAATATAAACATTAATATAATACTAGTTATAAAATCATATATAATTTCAATTTTTATATTTCATATATGGATCTTTGAATAATAATTATCGTTTTTTTTAAAATTTTTATTTTTAAGAAATTAAAAATAGAACTGATAGATATTACAGTTATTTTTAAAAAATTACATAAAATTATTATTTGTTAAAGAATTTTGATCCGTCAAAACAAAATTTAGTTCTTTAATTACGAGGCATACGGTAAAATAAATTTTAAATAGATTTGATTTAAACAATTCGTTAATTTTTATCAAGGCTTTTTTCTCAATATTTTCTTGCGAAACAAAGCATGTTTAATTAGAAATTTACATTTTAAGCAAGAAAACAAATAACTCTTTGTTTAAACAATACAATCTGTTCAGACAGGTTAGCTGATGTTTTGTGTTCAAAAATATATGTACATGTGTAAAAAATTTCAAATGCATCACTTTGGGATTGCGCGCAGTTTTTTTCATCTATTGTCGATTGGTTACCCAAAAGATGAAAGCTAAGCAATTTTTAGTAAGATCGTTTTTGCCTTTTTTTTTCACATCAGAAGAACGAAAATAACTCAAAAAGCATATCTCTTCACCAGCCAACGCGCACTTCTTGATAATCAAAAAAAAAAAACAAATAAGTGGTATATGATGAACATTTATCAAAAGACCTTTTTACACAATGCTTTAATGTTTATCAAAAAAAAATCAATTTGCATTCCGACATTCTTGAGCATGTGAACCTTACACACCACCTTTACACAAGTAAAAAAAAAGAGAGTATAAATAATACTGTACAATTCGTCGTTGATAACTTTTTGCATTTTTGTTTATCAAATTAAAAAAAAAATTTCAAATTCGGCATAGATTTTCAGATTAACCGGTAAAAAATGAACAAAAAATAAAAATAGTAGGGGGGGGGGGGGGGTCTTGTGTCATTTTCATTTTTCCTTATCTTTTAGTTTTTTCTTTTTCCATAAGAAAAATAAAATTTCAACACGTGACAAATTACCTGAAAGGGTTCTGCTTATCAATTCATCTGCAAGTCTAATTAGCTGCTCAAAAAAAATTAAGATTTTTTCTTTTGGTTTTACGCCAAATTTGGATCTTTCCTTCCGATAACTAATAGAAAAAAAACCTGCTGACCGTTTGAATATCAACTGAAATTGACAGATTAGAAAATTGGGCGGATCATGTAAATGACCTTAATGAATCAATATCTGGTATAGTCTGGGAACATTAACGCATAAAACTTTTTTCAAGTACATCCCTTGAACTCACGTCATTTTATATTTTCTGACAAATCCAAATTATTTGAGTCGGTGCAAAGCGAAACTGCGACATTCCCGCGCCATGAGAAGAACGAACGCAGAAAATATATATGTCTACGATAACATGGCAAAATTTGATTGAATATAATAAGTTTACATAAAGAAAAAAAAGAAAATGCTTAGCGGCATTCAAATGCAATGTAACGCTAAACACAAACCAACTGGGTTGACATACAGAATCTCCTTATATACATGAAATACCGATTAATTACATTTTACTGTGCACAATGCGTGTTTTCTAAGCCCAAATCACCTAAGCTGTTAATGGATCTATTCCACGAGATTTACATGTTATTGTCCTAAACTTTTTACAATATTTCTTGTTGATATTCTTGGTTTGATTTCAATCGTGTAACCTAATGCGGAAAAGGGTTTAATTAATTATGAATCACTGTCTGTTTGTAGATGTTTATTCAACTTTCAATGGGTTAACATAAAAAAAAATATTTTGAAATCGAGTACAATGTACCGAATGCCGCCGATGCACCTAACTCAATAAACCCCAAAAATATTTCGTACGCCCGTCGACTTTCATTCTTATATAAACTCCAGTTTTTCATTTGTACTCGAGTTGCATTTTCTTGTAGTTTCGAGTCACATTCAATTTAATTCATAATTAAAAATTTAAATCTTGACAAAAAAAAATTCATTTTAACTTTGTTATCCGTGTGTAGATCACGAAATAATTGAACTCCTTCACCGTTACAGGAAATATCACAACCTTTAAAAAAGTAAAAATTAATAAAGGGTGTCACAATAATATTGGCACAGCCTCTTAACATCATATTTCTATAAAAGAACTTTTTTTTTACCTTAAAATACTTTTACCACTTTTTCCAATTTTTTTCTTATCTAAAAAAAAATGCAATCACCTTCAATATCAAAGGTAACTCCAAAGCAAGACTTTGAAAATCAATTTGAAACATATATGAAGCAACAAAAAGTAGATAAAAATAATAATTCAACCCCAAGTACTTCAACAACACCTCAAGAAAATCCCAGCGTTACGACGGGTTTAATGTACAAATTTTCGGCAATAGCAGCTTATACCACTACGATATTTTCCGAAACCTATAAAACTTTAACGGCCGCCGGAACCATAGAACCAGAGTCACCCACGGTGAAAAGAAGAGATTATAATAATGATTATTTTAATGAAGATGTCATGCAAATAAACGCGGATGATTCGGATGGAGCTTACGACAATGATGAAATGAGCGACGTAGATGTAGAATATAATGGTCGAGAAATAAATAAAAAGATCGATAAAAAGATGGAAGCTAAATGGTCGGTGAATGATGACGATGAACCTCCACCACCGTACGATAGTATTTGCCCATCGGTAAGAAATTTATAATTTATTTATTTATTAATTAATTTTTATTTATTTTTATTTGGTATTTTTGTAAAAAAATAAAAACTTTTTAACTAAAGTATTATAATTTTTTATTTTGCAGTCAACTTCAACATATAATGCTGACACATGTTCCGGAGCAACGAATTTGACAGAATCTCCAACGTCCTCATCTCCCAAACAAATAAATTGTGCAATCCCTCTAGCCAAAAGCAAATCCACACCAACACCGTCGCCGAAGGATGTTAACTCGCAAACCTTTCCCAAACGTCGACAAATCCGAGTACGACGTTTTCGAAGATTAATTCGACGCAAATCCACAAATGAAGTTCTCACCCCACGAGGAGGAAGTTGTGATGATCCAGACGAGTTGTTACTAAAAGTAAACGATAAATTAAGTGATATGATAGCTCAAGGACGTGCGGCATTAACGAGTCAAGTTGATATATCAGAGGTTGATATGTTATTGGCTGAGGAAAGAGAACGAGAGGAAAGAATCATGAAGGAACTTGGCCTTCAAACTCCTGTTGGAAGGAAGGGAAGGAAAAACGCGGCTTACTCATTAGAGTACGATTATTTCAACTCCATGTCGGATGGAAATTATTCCGCTCCTGAATCTTCATTTTATGAGTATGGTTATGATTCTCACAGTCGAAACGGAAGTGGTGATTTCACATCCCCTTCAGAATTTGAACCTTCTGCTGGATTTCCTTCCAATGGAAATTATAACGCACCTCCCCAATTCAGTTCACCGGGGATGTATCATACGCAAGGAGTGTATAATTTTCCTTCCAATCTTGGATTCGGTTTAGGAAACAACAGCAATGGTGGTAAATTTGCTGAATCACCTTCAAATGACTTCATGGGCCCAATACCAAATAGATATCCAGCATCTTCTTCTTCTAATGGATTCAATGATCACTCGATACCTAATGGATTCGGTACCGGACCAGTGTCAGGAGGATTTGGAGGATCTGTTAGATTTGGAGGTCAGCAAGCATTCGTACCAAATGTTGGTCCTTATGTACAAAACAATAATAATGGTGGTTTCGTGAATTATGGTCCAGGTTTTGGTTCAAACACTGGATTTGGATCCAATGGAGCTTATGGAACAAACGGAATATATCATAAAAATCGTGAATTCATATATTAAATTTTTTTTTCCTCAAAAGTAGAATTAGATAGTACAATAATATAGAATTTGTTATATTATATTTTATATATATATATTTTTATTATTTTTTTTAGTTTTATTTTAAATATTTAGAAAGGATGGTTTATTCAAGTGAGGGGGATTATTTCTCTGTCGCATATCACTAAACATTACCGAATTATTTACACCAAATTAATATAATTATTGTATTAATCATCCCGCTCTTTTGAAACCTTACCTAAAATTTTTTGTAAATACTTCTTTTCCTTTTCCATTCCCTTACCCCCCTTTATTCAAAAGGAAAAAAAAAATTCTTTGATTACCTACTCTATTTCTTACTATTTCAAAAAAATATTTCTTTGTAAATTTTTAATCTTTTTTCCTGGCGTAGTTTTTTTTGCGTAGGAATTTGGAAGTAGGTTAAAACATTTTTTTTTCCTTTAATTTTTTTTTAAATAGATGGTTTTTAAAATTTTTTTTTTTTTTTTTGGTTAATTTGCCTTTTTGTTATGAAATCTAATTTTGAAAAAAAAAAAACTTCCATTTGAAATGGAAAAATAAAGATTCTTTTTTTAAATTTATCTGAACTTGTCCGTTGATCGAAGTTTTTAATGAATTTTTTAATTATTATTTTTTTTTTTTTTTCGTAATTAAAGTTTATTTAAATGTGGTTGATCTTTCTTTTGACATATGATTATTATGAGATAATTGAAATTTAAAATATTTCTTATAATAAATGAGTATTTCTATATTAGCTATATTATTGTAACATTGTAATCTACAATTGGAATCTCTATTTTCACTAATTAGATGATCTAGACTAATTGGTGACTTTTTACTAACTGTTCTAAGTACCAAAACAAATATAACAAATAGTTAAAATACACGTGCATATGTGATTAATAATTAAAACATTATCAGTTATTGCCTGAATCCGTTCGAGAATGAAACAGCTAAACAGCTAAAAACTAAATCAATTATCCAAGCTTTATTACTGTTAAGTTTATATTTAATCTTATTGTACTTATTCATGAAAAAAAAATTTAAATCAAAAATGAATTAATTTTAAAAAATTAATATATAAAGAAAATTTATTTTTTTTCTTTTTATTGTAAAATATGTATACAACAATTAAATAATATCAAATAAAGAATCATTTAAATTATATCTAACTTTTTAAATTTAACCTAATTTATTACAGTGTTCGGTAATGACCTGGTCATTTGACCATTTAAATGATCTTTCTATTTCTTTGTCATAATTATAAATCATTTAGCATTTGTCATTTTGCAAATGATATAAATGACAAATGATAAATGATCAATATCATTTAAATCATTTGTCATTTAGTCTTTTGCTTTACAAAAAATTTAGCAATACTCTTAAAAAATATCAAATTCTTAGCAAAGCTCTAGAGAATTCTTGATTTTATAAGAGTTTTGCAATTTTATCTTCTAACGATAAAGAATCGTTTCAAAGGATGATAAAAGGATTGTTCTGGTAGAACAATAGAAAATCATTCTAAAAGAACAATTAAAGCATTATTCCTCAAGAATGATAAAAAATCGTTCTAAAGGAACTATAAAAAAAATTATTTTAATAGGAATGATAATACATTGTTCCTTAAGAACAATAAAAAGTCATTCTAAAGGAATAATAAAAAATCATTCCAATTGAACAATATTACATTGTTCTAAAGGAATAATACAAAAAATCGTTCCAATAGAATGATAAAAATAATTCTAAAGGAATGATTCAACAAATCATTCCAATAGGATGATAAAGATTGTTCTAAAGAAATAATACAAAAAAATCATTCCTTAAGAATGATAAAAGGTTGTTCTAAAGAACAATAAAAAATTGTTACAATAAAATGATACTACATTGTTCTAAAGGAATAATACAAAAAATATTTCAATAGGAACAATAATACATCATTCTAAAGGAATGATAAAAAAAATCATTTCTTAAAAATGATAAAAGATCATTCTAAAGAAAGATTCAAAAAAATCATTCCAGAAAAATGATAAAAGATCGTTCTATTGGAATGATGCTTTTAATCATTTCTTTAGAATAATACTTCTATCATTCTATCATAATGATGCTTTTAATCGTTTCTTTAGAATGATGCTTCTATCGTCCTATCAGAATAATACTTTTAATCATTCTTTTGAATGAAACTAAAAAATTATTCAATTTTTAGCTCAAGTTTAGCACTTGACTTAACTTGACTAGACTTGTCTGACTCATAATTTAAGTCAACTCATTCAGAACTCGAATATAATTTAATATACTATTATATACTATATAAAATATTTGCCTAATATGAAATAATTTTTTTAATATATATAATTAAATATTTTAATAAATTTAATTTATTTACACTATAATAAACAATATAAATAATAAAAATTTATAAAATATGCTATATTTAAAAATTATTGAAATGACTGATCATTTAATAATGAAATGATAAGTCATTTGTCATTTGTCATTTGAGTTATTTGCCAGTTATAATCATTTGATAAACACTGATTTATTACCTATTTTTTTTAATTGTTTATAATCAAATAATTTTAATGTTAATTAATGATAAAAATAAAATTAAAAGAAATTACTTCATTAAGTTTTAATTAGAATATTACAATTATCAATAAGTAAATTCTTATTAATATCTAATATTATATTATATTTAGATCCTAATTAAGGTATTTCTTATTAATACTTAATATAAAAAATATTATAAATGTTTATAATTAATTATAATAAAAAGTATATATTGCTAATAGAAATAATCTTTACAAACAAAGTTACTTTATTGCAGTAAGTAAATTTCTTATTATCAGACTTTATAACTTTAGATATCTCATTTTTTATAGGTTACAGGTATTCAGGATTTCTTAAAATTATTTTACATTATCTTCAAACTTAAGGGTTTAAGGATTAGAGAATTTATTTATTCTTAATGACAAATTTAAAATTAGTAGAGTTACAATTAATCCTAAATAATAAACATATAGAAAGGAAAGTAATTATATTTTAAATTAGATTCCTTTATCTATTATTTGAAACTCACAAAAAGTTGATTCATAACTTAAGCAAAAAAATTATTCTATTTATATAAAATTAATTGCTATAATTAAATGTTTGCTATATAGGAGATTTGCTAGGAAAATGGGACTCTGAGTATTTTTATTAAAATTTTAATTTTTATTGCATTTTAATGTTTGATAAAGTTAGATTAAAATGCAATAAAAATTAATATTTTTTATAAAAAATGCTCAGATTCCCATTTTCCTAGCAAACCTCTCATATTATAAATTGATTAAATTATAAGTATTATTATAAAGATATAAAATATAATAATATACTTAATAAATTGAAGATAATTAATTATAAAGAAAATAAATATATAGTTATATCTTACTCCTTTATAAGCATTATATATTATTAATATCAGAAATTAATTTACTATGCTGATTATCAGTAACTTATAGAATGACGATATAATGAAGTAAGTCTATCAAATACTAATTTTTCTGATCTTGCAAATTCATCTAATAAGACTGATATCTATGATTTCACTTATTTCATTATTTTTAATATTTTTATTATATTCGTTATAACTGTTATCTTATTTATATTTATTATATCTCATATATTAATATATGTAGTTACAAATTTAGTTAGTTTATAGCATAGCAACTAGTTAGCTATAACAAATTAATTTTATATAAATAGAATAGCTTTTTACTCAAGTTGTAAATAAACTCTTTTGTAAGTTTTATAACTCTTATGAATTTTAAGTAATAAAAGAATCAATTTTAAAATATAATTAATTTTCCCTTTTACATATTTATCATTTATGATTTGATTATGAACTATAATACTAACTTACTTTTGAGTTTGTTACTTAGAATAAATAATTTCTCTAAGATTCTCCTAAGTCTCTAAACCTTTAAGTTCAAAAGTTAAGTGAAGTAATTCCAAGAAATTCTGAATACTTGTAGAATATGAGATTTTCTAAGGTTATAAAGTCTAATGATAAGGAATTTACTTACTATAATAAAGTAACTAAATAGAATATATGTGAAAAGAATTAATCCTAATAATTCTTACTAAAACAAAACTAAGAATATCCTTAAAGAAAGTAACCAACTATATGATAATATATATGATAAGCAGAAGGTTTAATTTATAGTTGAGATTAGGTGAAATATTTGATATATAATAACAAATGAGTACTGCCTCAAACATCGGTGCTTCTATACTATACAAATGTTCTAAATAATCAAACTAAGCTAATCTAGACTATTCCTATAAGTCTTTTCTTCAGTGATCTCTGTGAACTCCTCTTAAATCTCCAAGGATTCTCAACTCATATTTATATAAAATAAAATATATATAATCATTAACATTGTAAAATAAATAAACTAAATATAATTAATAAACTAAGTTAAATAAATAAACTAAAGAAAATAAATAAATTAAATTAAATAAATAAACTAAGTTAATTAAATAAATGAGATAGATGACGTAAATGAGATTAACAAGATTAACATAATTTCTAAGGATCTACATTAAAAAGATCATCCTAATGATTTTTCATATAACATCACTCTTCTTCAAGATTTTGCGTTCTCACAAAAATATGTGGTCTTTTCTACGAGAGTATTATATTCTGTTACTGAAAGACTTTCAATCATTTTCAAGGTCGCATTATGATTTCTCACAATTTAGTCTGATTTTAAAAATTCAAAAAGATAATAAATTCGAATGGCTGTTTGACAACACAGGTCGAACGCTGATAAATCTGGTACCTTCCCAATTGGCCACTATTTTTTGATTAGCAATCAATAGATAGAAATTAGTAGATACTACAATCAGGTATGAATCGGTTAATACCATAATCATAATTATTAGGTAGAATTACATAAATCGGGTTCCAATCCGATTTTATACTTAATTTACTAAATTTATAACTATATGTTAAATAGCAA